AAACCATTAGGGTTTTGTGCTGCTTGGAGAATAGTGATCCAGTTGAAAAATATGATGATATGTTCATTTATATGTAGAGGCACCATAGAATCCTGTGATCCAAACAAGCCTTCTTAAAAATTAGTATTATGCTCATATTACAGTAGGTTTCAGTTCCAATAAAATTTTGCAAGAATACAGACTCTTTCCGTTTAGAAAACTGAAGGACTGTTATTAAATGATGTGCCCGTAAACACACACACATTTGAAAACATAATTTAAGCACACACCTGAACATTATTAGAGATCACTCTAAATGAAGAGCAATATGTAGTCTGTTAATAAAATATTTTTGGGAGTTTTCAAATCATCCAACAAAAAGTCCACCCTGTTAACTCAAGCTTACAGAGACTGTTGTATAAAATCTTCAGAACTTGTTTATAGAGGAGGTACAACTACTTTCTTTAAAAATACCTGGAGTATCAATAAAAGGACTGAAATGTACTTAGAATTGTGACAGACCTAGGCCAGTGGGGTACAGGAGTCTGGTAGAAGGCAAATATACTGGCCACTGGATGAACAATTTTCTGTTCCCTGAGTGACCAGAGCAGGTGTGCCCCTAGAGCAATCAGGAACCTACTAGAACCAATTAAAGCAGGCAAGCTAAGCAAGACACCTGGAGCCAATTAAGAACTTTCTAGAATCAGTTATGGCAGGCAGGCTAATCAGGACACCTGGTTTAAAAAGGACCTCCCATCAGTTAATATGGGGGGTGCATAAGGAGCAGGGAGTGAGAAGGTGTGCTGCTGGAGGAGTGAAGAGTTCAAGCATGATCAGACTTCAGGAGGAAGATCCTGCAGTGAGGATAAAGAAGGTGCTGGGGGAAGGCCATGGGGAAGTAGCCCAGGGAGTTGTAGCTGTCACACAGCTGATACAGGGAACATTGTAGACAGCTACTATTCACAGGGACCTGGGTTGAAGCCCGGTGTAGAGGGTGGGCCTGGGTTCCCCCCATCTCCCCCAACTCCTGATTGGACACAGGAGGAGTTGACCTGGTCTGTGAGGAAACACCAGAAGGGAAGGTCTAAATTGGAAAGCGATCTGGTCTGTCCCCAACCCACTAGTCAGGACACAGAGACTGTGGGGGACTGTTCTCCATTTCCCCTCCAAGCTGGCCAGTGATGAGGTTAGCTGAGTGGATAGTAGGTTTGAGCCACTAGCAAATGTGGCCAAACTGAGGGCTGCCGTGAATCTCTGAGGCAAGCAAATCCGCCAATAAGTGCAGGACCCACCAACTCAGAGGAGGAGCTTTGTCACAGAATGTAGAGACTTGGCTATGATATTTTTAGCAGGAAAAGGTAGAAAAATACAGACCAAGCAAAAGCTGAGTGTTTTCACTCCCATTTCACACATTTAGGTGCACTGGCAAAATCCATTCCTCTGAATGTGAACCATATCTTCTGATAGATGAACTAAGAAAAACAGAACTGAGTGCAGCTGCTAGTTCTCTTTCCCAGTGTCCTCCAATGACAGCCATCTTTAAACTACATCTGTATTCTGGTACCAGTCCCTAAATCTCTATTTCAATATGGTGAACAAGGTAACTAATAAAAAGTACTTCCACGTCAATTTCTGCATCAACAGTTATTATATCATGTTGGACACGAAAGAGTTGAAACTAGGTTATCAACATACAAGCTTAACGTTTAGTCAATCAGACTGCTTGCGTTGAATTTACATTTTCTAGTCACATGAAACAGGCATTTTTTATTTCCCTAAAGGGCAGAGATGAACTAGATCTTACTGCAGCAATATATAGAAACCTCAACAAAGAAAGCCCAAAATAATACATCGCAACAATACAGCAATACTTCTTCATTTTTTTCTAGAAAGAGAACAAGGTTTTAGTGCCAAAACGATAGCTATAATTTGATATATCCATCTTCTCTGTGTCATTTCAATATTACATTACACAAAAAGTCCTGTCGACTTCATTTATTTTCAAAGCTAGCAGTGGGGACCACAGAAAACAGTTCAAGATTACTGTAAAGTCATGAGTTTCTAATGATCCTAAAAGATTTGACTTCCTTATTGGGATCCCCAAGAATCTCCTTGTCATAGATGTGCTTTCCCCTTTGCTTACATTATAGGATGCAAGCATCAAGACTACACTGTAATAAAGAATGAGCTCTAGTTCTGTACTTTAAAGATCATATACCTTTAACAAATTATTATTTTAGAGATATATGAACTGATCTGAATAAAATAGCAACCAACACAAAGAACTGCCCACACTTAAATAAAATTTAACCATTTTTCATCTTGAAAATGCTCAGTGGTTTGAGCATTGGCCTGCTAAACCCCGGGTTGTGAGTTCAATCCTTGAGGGGGCCACTTAGGGATCTTGGGCAAAATCAGTACTTGGTCCTGCTAGTAAAGGCAGGGGGCTGGACTCAAAGACCATTCAAGGTCCCTTCCAGTTCTAGGAGATAGGATATCTCCATTAAAAAAAAAGTTTTTCAAAATTATGAGCTAAAAGTTAGACTCCTACTTCTATATTTAGCAACTAAAGAAGAGACCTGGATTTCAAAAGTGAGCCTCCTATATTTGGCATAAAAGACAAATGGAGCTTGCTTCTACAGTTACTGTTTTAACATATGACTATGATGACAACAACACATACATTAATATTGCTGCTAGACAGCGGTACAGAGAATTTAATGGAAAAGTAAACTCCTGAAATGTGGTTTGTTGTTGACTCCACTGTTATCTCTTGAGTTTAGCAGTTTTTGGATGGGAACTACTTCACCGTCTACAAATTCTTTCCTCTGTGTCTCTTATAAATAATGTAGAGATTCTTCTGCTAAACCAGCAGGCTGGTTACAATACCAAATATTAAAGGAATGTACTAGTATCTCTAAGCCCTGGTGCTAAAAGAAATGGTAATAGCTACAGTTCTGGATGCTTACAGAAACTCAAGCTCAGACCTTTGGAGGTTTGCTCATTAATACAAAAACACACTGACTGAAAATTATATTTTGAATAGAAATTTAAATTAAAAAATATATATATATAGTCAGATTGAGCCATCACAAGTGCATTTTATGGCTACAGCTAAATTAATAGGAAACAAAACATTATTACACCGGGGGTCAGATTCTGAGCTACACCTGTATAATTTCATTAAAATTACTCCAGGGTTACACCAATGTAAATTAGACCATAATCTGGGATTGACTCTTGACTTCAACACAGAATTAATTTTAGAACATTACAAAATATTTAGACGACAGCTGTAAAGACTCAAATTGCTTACAAATGGAACATGTACATTTTCAAAAAAATTAAGAATGACTAAAAGAATAAGTGATACTATACATTGAATGGCTTCTAACACGAATGGCATCAAAAGAATTAAATGACATCAAATGCAAAATGATACAAATAAACTGAAATTTTATCACATTCAGACTGTTATGGGACTATTTAGAAACAACAACCTTTCAGAAAGATATCTCCAGCAAATCTACATAGAAACACAGGGTCAGATTCTCCCATTCCATCATGTGTTGTCAGTGCTACCAGTTTGATTTGGCAGGGTTTTATATCCTCTTTGAACAGATATAAATGATGACATAGGTGCAAGTAGGATGACCAAACAACAAATGTGAAAAATCGGGACAGGGGGTGGGGGGTAATAGGAGCCTATATAAGAAAAAGATCCAAAAATCGGGACTGTCCCTATAAAATCAGGACATCTGGTCACCCTAGGTGCAAGGCAGTGGAGTATTGGGCCAATATATGGTACCTTTTGTAATTCATCTAGTGCTCGGCTTTAGCCCATCATGAGAACTATTTATTTACATACTAGGAATTGTACAGTATTTAATAGATTGTTTCATGCTGGTAATGGTTACTTTAAGCCATGTTAAATGATAAAAAAGTGATAAAATAATGGCCGTCCCGTCTCTTTTTAATATTGTTAGTAAAAGTAAAAGGGAGTAAGAAGGACTGGCAGGAATGTTATTTGAAAAGAAAGATAAGATAGGAATTGTTAAAGGCAAAGCCTATAAGTTTATTTCATTGATTGCATGAATGAAATGAAATTCTTTTGTATTAAAAAAAAGCATAACTGCTATGCCCTGTGAGACTAACAAACAAATCTGTAAGTGCTTGCTATGTCTATACCACAACACTTGTTCACAGGTTTGCTTGTGTGATGTCTACAGAAGATGTAGCAGTTATTGTTTTCTCTTGCAACAACTCCACACAGTAGCATTTTAGCAGAAAAAGGAAGGATGTCAGGGTAAATCAAAAGAAAGGAGCAGTTAAGGGAATGGAATTTTGATATCTAAAATCTGAATAGTGTCCTTATAAGAAAATGATTAGTTTTCTACATCAGGCTGAGCCTCATTGGTGTTAATTATGTCTGTATGAAATCTACTTGTCCTGTTAGCACAGGATATTTACATTTTATCAAGAACTTTGTTGATACTTTGAACACATTCATTTTATCGACAGAATAGATTAACTTCATTAATTTTGTTCCCATACTGAAATGTACTGACTTTTTTTTTTAAGTGTGCTTGGATCACAAAAGAAGTGCTTGACAAAAAGTATTTCATTTGCTAACTGAAATACAGTATTTAGTAATATGTGCATTTCTGATCGAAAGGTGTAAATAATCAACAGATAAGTATGTGAATGATGGATAGCTTTAAAGGGAGCAAACTGGACCGAGCTTATTTCTCCCTCTCTCCAATTTGCAATGTTCATACAGGACTTTGGTCATGTGTCAGTGCCACTGAAATTCATGGGTCTACTTGTGTAAGTAAAGTAAGCAGGATCTGGCCTACAGTGCATAAGGTACACTAAATTAGAATGTATCATACGTATTTTTTTAATTCTATAGTAGCAATTTATTATAGATTTAAATGTGTTCTCCATAGCTCTTCTGGGAGCAAATCTTAGTATGCATTAAACATCACAATTCAAGACTGGTCAGATGACAGCCAGAATACCTGGGTTTGGGAATAGATTCTGGTTTCTTGGCTCTGCGAGAGAGTACGCTGAGCGTGCCATGACCCAGAATGATGGGAAGGTGAAAATCCTCTGTCCTCAGCCACTCTGAAGCCTGGGGCCGCCCGCTGCCATAAATCAATTAATCAATCAATCATTTATTTAATCAGGTAGCTGCATTTTCACAGTGATATAAAAATGGGCTCTAGACAATGTCTTCTCTATAAAGCTATTGCAGTTTTAATTAACTTATAAACAGATATAGGTTACCTTATACCAGTTCATCTTAAAAGGCTGACATTCACCTCAGTGAAAATGCGTTCCCCCAGCCCACTGATGCTCCAATTATAGGCCCGATCCAGCAAAATGCTTGTATATGCTCACGAATAATTTTAAGCACATATGTAGTCCCATCAAACAGTACTTTTGATGGTAATATTTATTCGCTGGTTGGGGCTTAAGTCTTTAATGTGGTGCTTAAGTGATACAAAGGCCCTGGCACTGGAGAGAATTTCATCTAAAGCGAATACATCTCTCAAGGACGTAGCCGTTATCATTTGGATTTTCTTCCAATTAGGCCATAGTCAATGTTCCACTGTATCACGGCAGAATGCATTTAATATATCGAAAGGGCAAACAGATTTATTTTACTTAGAAAAGAACTTCAGATTTTAAAACCGGTTGCCAGGAATTTTGAAGTGTCTCTCTGGCAATTTGCAATGAACTTTTAGCAGTTTACAGCTGCATTATTCTGAAACTCACATGAAAAGAGACTCCTCTTTTAGATCCTGCCTGGCTTAACTGTTTGATTAGGCTTCAGGCAATTTTTTAAATCTTGTTCAGCCAATGACAGACAAGGCCAATCTTCAGAGTGTCTATTTAGGCTTCATTAAATATCTGTCACAATATTCTCCCGATTGTGTAATAGCACAGTATGTGGTGAAGGTCAACTGCTTTTAGTAACCTCTCTGCTTTCAAATGGATATGATGACTGCAATTTTATTGTTAAAGTGGGTGACAGGGACAAACATTGGTATTATCCTATGCAACACAGAAATCCACAATTATGAATGAAAAAGTATAATTTCTAAGAATTTATTGTGATTTCCCACTTATATCCTGAAAGACATAATACAGTGTAAAGATATTGTGCTGGAGTTTAAATGATTGGGTAAAATGATGCAATTCATAGAAAACATTCTCTTCATGACAGTCTCTCCAGTTCTTTAGTATCATAAACACTTAATACAACTTGAAGCTTGTTTTTAGCAAGTATATTATTGTTCAGGTTGGATTATTTAGTTATCTTTTTACATGTACCTTTTGTCTAAAGATTTGAGATAATTTTTATTTGCTAACTTCATGAAAATTCTCAAGCTGCTTTTATTTAAGAGTAGTTGGTTATTTGCTTGAAAAATGAAGATGGAGAAAAAAATCTGAGCTGCAACAAATGAGGATTTGCTCTTTCCCAGATGTAGCTATATTTTCAAAGGTGTCCCCTAATTTTTCGATGTCCACCTTGACACACTTAATGCCTTGGTTTTCAGAAGTGCCAAGCAATTGAGTCCATTAATTTCAATCAATTGAAGTTGTGAGCACTCAGCACTTCTAAAAATCAGGCCTTAGGTGACTCAGGTGGAGCACTGAAAAATGGAAGCAACCAAAATTAGTAGCCATTTTTGAAAATGTAGGCCTTACTGCGTAGAACAGAGAACAATGGAAATGCTTAAATTTGGAGTTATTTTAGGAGAAATGTTTTCTCCACTGATGGTCAACTACAGTGAGAATTTAATTAATCTTTAGTTAATAAAAATGTGATCCCTGGAAACATCTTTTCTATGGGATTACCTAGTGCTGGCCTCATCTTTAAGTATACTTTTCAGTCTGGGATTCTATCTGAGTCAGTCACTCTGCTAGGTTACTTAGACTTTATTTCTTTGGAACTTTCCCATGGCACCCTGTCTTGGTGCAAGTTCTTTTTCAGGTGGTTTTCCCAAGGAGGAAACGAAAGGGTTATGGGTGGCAGGACCAGAAGAGAATTAATCTTTCTGGTAGAAACTGGAGCCCTACAGAAAGTTCTTTAGGAAAGAAAGCACAATTTTAATCTTTCTGCATCACTCCCCCTTTCCTTTGTTGTGTTGACAGCCGATGGCTTGGTCTGCCTCCCATTTTCTAAGGAACTATCAAATTCAGAGACAACAGGAGAAGCTGAGAATCAGGCAACTGAAGCAAAACAGCCCAGTAGTAGCTTTTTGTAGAACAGCAGCAGCTGCCTGTTGATGTTAGGGAGAATAGAACTCTCACACAGGGCATTGAGGAAGGTAACCCTTTAACCCCAAGACTAAGATCATCATTTCATCTTGGTTTTGACGGCTTCCTCTTTTTTGAATTGTAAGAGCTGGAGAGAATTTTGGATAAAATGTTCTTGTCAGGCTTTGTTAATATAGTGCTGGATTAACTGCTCTGGAGAGTGAAGTCCTACAAGTGCATCAGGGGAGGCAACAGTGCATCCCAGCCATGTGTCTGAACTCTGACTTGAAATTGACTCTTTGTACCTTTTCCATTCTGGGCTGTCCTGATAAGTCTGCTAACCATTCTGGTGTGTCCCTTTAAAGTTACCATACAGCTGCTGTTGAGTGGAGAAGCCAGCACAGTGGTTAGAATCAGTCAGTGTAGTGCACAAACTGTTACAGAGCTCTGCTAGTTCCATGCACAAGCTAGTATAATGTGTGCACACCTGGTTTTACTTCCCACAACACAGTACCCCATCTACCGAGATGCCAAATAGTGACAGTAGTGAATGCGAGAGGGTTTTATAGCCTGAGACCACCAATTAACTTCCCACAGAAAAGCAAACCACTGCCAGGTTGTGACAAGTTTGAAATCTAGCCCAGGTCAACAGAGAACCATCTCCCATCTTGAACTGAGAGGCTCAATTGCTCTCTACCCACCCTCTGAGCCAACCAGGTTCGCTATCTTAGCATTCTGTTAAAACAACCAAAGGCTATTTGAGAAGAAAATCCAGACAATTCCAAGCAAGGTGAAGCTCTTCCTACATTAGCACTAATACATTAGTATTATGGGCCTGATCCAGCAAAAGACATCCCCAGCTTTCCAGACATTAAATGCCCCCAAAGAGTCCTCAGATGCCAGTTCTGCTAAAGACTGGCCTAATCCACAGTAAAGGCCAGAAAGAAAAAATCCTGCCTTGAGGCCTGATCCAAGGGCTCATTAAACTCAATACGTATTTTCCATTGATGTCAATGTGCACTGAATCAGGCCCTTGTGAAGAAGCTCATGGGAAGGAGAGCTCATACAAATGAGGTGCTAGCTGTCTGAGCTCCATTGCACTCATTGGGGATACACAGCCCATGGGCTAGATTACTTTTTCTGTAAAGCCTCAAGAAATGACATGAACAGGGTCTGTGTATGCATGAACATCCTTGCCTTCTCTCACTGAGAAGTGCTCTTTCCCCCTGTCTCTGGTGTGGCTAAATAATTCTCTTTGTCCCACCCCTTCCTTCTCCTGGAATGTTCTTACTTCTGTTCTCAGAAAAATGCCTTATAGCCTGGATGAAGTGCCTTTGTCTGTGTTGATTTAATCAGTGTGGGTTTTTCAAACAATAATTGAGAAATTGTTTTTGGCCTCTAAAGACAGGAAATGTTTTTCAGTCAATGAGAAACTAAGTGAAACTTGTGCAAACAGCCACCCTTTTCAGGCAACCTCCTATCTTAAGAGAACACCCCAATCATACAGAGTACAATTCTGCTGTACTTTTATTAGAAGACCCCTCATTTCTGAAACTGATTTTTGCCAGTCCCTTGAGAGGTTCCTTAACCCGGTTTCACTGTGTACCTATTAGTACTATAGCCTTGTTTAAAATCAAAGTGCTTGCTTCAGTCCTGTTGGAGGCTGCAGTCTACATCCCCCCACATATATTAGAACAGCTGTGCTATGGAGGAGGCATGCACCGCCGCAAAGGGCAAGTGACAATATCAGGCTTCCACTAGCTGGAAGAAGCTTCAGTTTACAGCCAGGAGTCTAGAGGCTTCACTGGCAGAGGCTGCCTGAGAGAGACACTGGATCAGTACATCTGCATGCCCTTGCTGTGCACTTTCCTGAGCCAGCCCTACACACTTCTTGGGTAGCACTGGCTGGCTCCTGGCCCCCCAACAGAGTGGAAGTTATAGGCAGCTTGTAACATTATGCTTCCCATCTCTGGCTGGACTTTCTGTCACTGGGCACTTTCAGTTTGGGTTCTGCCAGAGACAGTGAATAAAGCCCATAATGCTAAGCAGAATTACAAAAACGTAATAAGCTTTCATGCTTTTCCCCTGACATGAACAAATCTGTGCAGGGCCGGATCCAGGCATCAGGCACCCAAGCACATGCTTGGGGCGGCACCTGGTAAGGGGCGGCGGGGGGAGCGCGGCGCGGCAGTTCC